GAGCAACCGGACGCCTGTGGTTCGTTTGTGAGATTGACGTTGGATGACAATTCCCAGTTAGCTGGCATTTGCAAAGATTGGGGAAAATTAAGTGGAAAGTACTTTGTTGGAAAGTGGGGACATGGTGAAGATCAAGACAGGCTATACCAGTATCCCGTCTTAAGAAAAGGAAAGTATCACCTTAAAGTCCACTTGAATAACGTTGGTGGCCTCGACAAAATGGAATGTGATGATGGCTCGGGTCACAATGTTGACACAAACGGCGATTTCTGGAGAGTCTTTGTTCGTTAGTTGCGTCTATATGTACACCAAGCAACCCTTGACTGTGCGAATAACAGTTACAAACGAATAAAGCAAAATAAAGACAAATGCACCGTTACACTCATCAGGTTATAAGAATATTTTTGTTTCCATTTCGGGGCAAGGGAAAGCAATCCTCATTGTTTCCAGTGGGGCCAGTCATTTTAATTTTTATTTTTGAAAATATTTTCTGATACATCCCAAACCGAATATGACTTCCAAAAATCACTTTTTTTACGTAGGCTGGCACACACATTTTTGCCGTGGTTTCACGGTGAACAACCTTATGCGCGAGAGTCGAAAGTTAAAGTTGTTGTCTGCTGGGGGACTTAGTGAATTTTGTTCACCCTAGAAAGTTAGTGTATTTTGATTCATGGCGCGTGAAATATTCAACCATCCAATCAAAAAACGTATTTGAGTTAAGGGGTACATAACGATTAAATTTTCACAACTGCTTCCTTCTAAATAAAAGGTTGAACTAGTGACCACGTCAACCTCAATGTTAAAAAATCGAAGTGCTCTAAACATGATTGGCTAGTTGATCGGATCGCGAGCGTTGCGCGTGAATACTAAAAATTCCAGAGCAAGAGGAAACAACACTTTGCAGTTCGAAAAAAACTCACTACTGACACAAGAAAATTTCAACGACCTGTTTGATATGGCGGGAAGTCATTGAGAAAAACCATGCTTAGCACAAGAGGTCGAGGCTAGCTGGGAAATCTCCCGGACAATAAAAAAATAATCATACAGATTTTGACCTTCAACCCCAAATAATCGTCATTCCATACAGAGGGGGTTATCCTACCATATCGAAGGTCTCTGTGTCAGGAAGTCCACTGAACTCACACGATCAACAATCTCGCTAAGAGGTTGAGACTGAACATTGCATGTTTAAAGACCAGTGGTATTTATGTTCTCTCAGTGATACAATGCCGATGCCTCGCGTGCAGATTTGCTCGATTTCATGACAAAATACTATAAACGAATAATAGCTATGACTCATGTTTGTTGTATTTAGCTAATTGTCGAAAGAGGATTGTCCGTTCATTTTTTTAGTTTTTAATTTAATCCTTACCGGACTTACGCCTAACCATTTTACTACCTCAAGATAAAATAAGAATCTGAAATAAAAGGAATGACAAAAATTCATACAAAATGTATCATTTTACGCGACAGCACACTTACAGTCTAAACATTCAGAACTATTGCTAGGAAACGTGATAAAGTGAATCATTGCTTTAAGACGACGAAACTACAACTAAAGGGTGCCTAAAAACTTCAAAAAAATTTATAGTTAAAAACTACATAGTTACGGATAGTTTACAGTGAAAACTGCTGTCTTTTAAACGGGTAATTCTTACCATGGTTTCGTGTGACCATAGAAAGAATTCTCCATTTTACTACCCAAGATAAAATGAGAATCTGAAACAAAAGGAATGACAAAAATACAGATAAAATGTATCATTTTGCGCAACAGCACATTTAAAGTCTAGACAGTCAGAATCATAGCTAGGAAACGTAATAAAGTGATTCATTGTTTTAAGACGACGAAACTACAACTAAATGGCGCCTAAAAACTATAAAAACTTTTGGATTGTGACGTAAAACCCCACGTAGACCGTTCCACTTCAAGCTTGACTTGTCCATTCCACTTTTGTATTTTTGGCGGTTACGGCGTAAACCAACTGCTGTAACGCTAAACCATTTCGGTTTATACTAAACCTTTTGTCGTCACGCTAAACCATTTCACTTTACGGTGACTGAGTAGATTGATGCGATACTAAGCCATTGCGGTCTACTATCAACCATTTGCAGATAACTTTAGCCATTTCA